GATTACCAAAGTACACCTTTCGGTCACTCCGTCAAGTCCGATGTTAAGGACTCATCATACCTAACAAAACGAGTCCAAGCACGGCACATCTAGTACTACTCGGCGACCAGTTCCAATAGCGATTACCAAAGTAAACCTTCAGGTGACTCCATCAAGTCCGGAGGTAGAACTCATCATACCTAATAAAACGAGCCCAAACTCGGCACACCTAGTAGTACTCGGCCACCAGTTCCAATAGCGATTACCAAAGTACACCTTCAGGTCACTTCGTCAAGTCCGTCGGTAAGGACTCATCATACCTAACAAAACGAGCCCTAACTCGTCACACCTAGTAGTACTCGGCGACCAGTTCCAATAACGATTACCAAAGTACACCTTCAGGTCACTCTGTCGAGTCCGGAGGTAAAGACTCATCATATCTAACAAAACGAGTCCAAGCACGCAAACCTAGTTCTACTAGTCCAGGTGTTCCAGTATTAGCGATTACTGAAGTTCACTTTCAGGTCACTCCATCAAGTCCGGTAAGGTCTTATCATAAGTGACAAAACCAGCCCAAAGTCCACAGCTAACTTCTCAGTGCCAGCAGAGGGCTCCCAGTGCAAAGCAGTCTCTAGAGTAGGTATTCGTATTTCGTAACTAAGTCTAATTACTCTATGTATCTAAGTGTATTTTTGAGGTGTAGGAAATCAAAAACAAATTCGATCTTTCAAATTATCAAAATAATTTTATTTGACTACGATTCCCGCAGCCAACCGTGCGTACACTTGTGTGCGTGACTCATGTCAATGTAATAGTTCGATTCTATACCTATATCAATTTTGTAAAGGCGTCCTTAAAAAATCTTAACGTAAATACTGCGGCAAAAAGAGCGACACGTCTCTACAGCACCAGGCCTCGGCCGGCAGTGCAGTGACTGCACAGGCGTTTACGCAAACATCCGTACGTATTATTTCAGAAGAAAGAATATGCGATTTAAAAAAAAAACTATTAGTTGGACTAAAAAATTAAAACACTATAACGTTAATATGTTGAATGTATAAAAATCTGACAAAAACATCAGAATGATTGCATGTATACTAGTATGGTTTTTACTAGTTAAAATAAATTTTTAGAGGTATGTTTGTGATTTTTTTCTATCGTATTAAATTAGTGGTATCATGTTTTCAACACACTATCTAACTAGCATATATCCTGGACAATATCATATATTTTTCTGGGTTTGTTTACTGCAGTGGATCATATACTTTGAGGCATTATAAAACTTGCGTTTAGGCTCATGCCTCGTCTTAAATATCAAGGCTATATTGTGTTAAGACTTTGATTATTACATAAGATTAAAAAGGTTATTAAAACGATTTTGTTAGAAATATATAGAACAAATTTATTGCATGATTTAGTACAATGTTATACTAAAACGTATACATTTGAAATGTCAAAATATATCTACATTGAATTTTATTTGAAGTCCAACTGAAGAATTTGATTAATATTGTTTTTGAATATGTTAAAATAATGACCTCAGCTCCTTTATACAAGCATTTTTATATTCAATCAATAAAAATTTATAATGATTCAATTACATGCAAAAATTAATATAATTTGTAATTTACATTTTGCTCATCATTTTTAATTATATTAATATTAATTATATATAATATACGAAGTGATTCGAAAACCATTGTATTAATCTATAAATAAATAAAAAATGCATCTTTTATTTCTTGTTTTCTCATTTTATTAGTTTTCTTTGGTTACTATCGCCTATAAACGCTGATCGCGTACCAAATTGTCATTAACAGTACATGTTCTATTTATAATATTATAAAAACTATGATGTGCATGGCAATCCTCGTGCTGTAAGTCGAACATTCCATTTTAAATTATCATTTATAAAACTATAAAGCTTAATCGGTGAGTAAAAATGCTGAAATGTTTATCTACAGTAATAACTTATGGTATTGAAATAAATACATCATATAAATTAATACCCGTAATTCAAGTATACGATATTACTCGTTTTCATTATCTGTGACCACTAAAATGATGTTGTGGTAAATATAACATTTACAGTCTATACTACTATCCATTTTAATTTAACATTAAATTATATTAATGAAACATTTTACCATTACTTTCACAAATTATTTTACACGCATAAGATACATTATTTAAAACAGGCAAAGTTGTAGTACTCTCCTCGAAATACTTTACATACTTAAATATTATCACTATTTAAATAATACTGTGTACAAACTCATAGCTTTGATCAATAACAACAATTTTCTTTAATTTTGTCTCACTTTTATTTTTAATGGCATCATATCATTATCTTATTTTTTATAACTTTTAAATCCTCATTATCTAAGTTTAAATATCAAAAGAAATAAGGGATTCGCCAAAAATTTGGTTCTTGAGTATTTTAGAATGCACATGTTATTGATAATTTCGTAGCTATTTTTGTATGAATGTATTAATTATAAAAAATATACATAATTATGCAGGTATCCTTTTACGTATACAAGGATGGAGGTAGTTTATGTATTTTTGTTCTTTTGGAATTAATTTGTCTATTTATTCTTATTACATGCGTAATAATAGCACAATATATAAAAGTTTCACTCACTCTTAAATATCATACTGTATACTTTTCACAGATTTTCACCACACCTAATATTTACTACGAACGACAATAAAGCCATATTTGTATATTTTACATCGATGAGGTAAATTATAAAGTATAAATAAATAAACAACTTAAGAGGATTTTCATCATTTTCAATTAAAACACAATCCCTTTCGGGTCCATAATCCCATGTCGATTAATACAATTCTATAGACGTAATTATTTGGACAAAATATTCTTAAATATCTTCAAAAAAAGGGTAACTGAATAAGAAAACTTACATGAAAATAAAATACACAAAAGTAACTTATGCTTACAAGCTTACTTACAAAGCCTTATGACCTTGGCACGCAAAGGCGGAAAGTTTTTTAAACATGATTTTTGATGTAAGAAACTTTAGTATTATAGGAGTCGCAGGAAGTATAATAATACGTTTGATTACTTGTTGTTTACAAGTTCACAACTCGAATAGCCCGTCAATAATTATTCCAATCGTTTAAATAATATCACACAATGGTGGTAGCATATTCCTACTACCTATCAAAACTGAGCCTAGCAACAGTTTGAATGTGTGTAAGAATTATACAGTCCAAATACTTTTATAATATGAAAATAAATAAAACGCTGTTATAAATATTGCTAATAATTGAATTAATTACAAATATTTAGAAAATGAAAAAAATACCTCAAATTCTAAATTAAAAATATACAGAAAATTATCTGTGATAATTGTTATGACAATACAATGACTAATAATATATTTTATATTTCATAATTAAAAAATGTAATATAACAGCCAAACGATAATTGTACAAATATTATTTATAACGGTTCATAGTAGAAATTATGTAAAAATCACTGATAACCTTAGTTTAATAATGAATAGAATTTCAGAATATGAATTAAATTCTAGAAGGAAGAAAACTATAGCATAATACTAAGTAGAAGTTTCTGGAAACACTAAGTGAAGAAACTCATAAACGCTGCACTCCGCGCCGGACATCCTCCACTCAAGTCGATGGTCACTCAGTTTCAACACTTAGGTCAAGGTTAAAGTATAATTTTTTTGGAATAATGATCATGCCAATTAAAATGTTCTTATCCCTTATTTGTATAACATGACATCGAATTTCAAACAAATTTTTGAAGTATAATTTAAAATACTTTTTTATTTATAGTTCGTATGACTTCAATTATAAATAAATAAAGAATTCTTGATAAGTGCCATGAAACGCTCCAATATTAACTATTATTTTGAAGTTGTTTGAATAAAATGTAGTAATATTTTCAGGAGATTTAAATATTTATCCTTTTATTCACAGAGTAATATTAAGCATTTTATGGCGTATTGTTCGCTCAAAACAGTTTTAAGTTTCATCTTCAAAGTTTTGTTTCTCTAAAAGTTGTAGTTTCGACGCTTGTTTAAAGTAAGGGTTGTGGAAAATCTTTATTCACATTTGAACTTAATTTTAATTTATATTATGTTGTAATTTATTATATAGCTATTTTCTGGTTGCATCTGCTGCTATACCGCAGTATGTTTCTTGCCGTGTGCCCTAGTTTATAATCTATCTCTTTGAGTTAACTCTTTATGTATTTCTTACTGCTGCTACACTTTTTATCGCTCTATATGTACTCGTCTTTCCTTCTAAACTTGTTTTTATTGGGTTTTAAGTGTAAAGTATAATAATTGACATTTCGGTTTAGGAATAAATTCTTTTTTAAAGTTTCTTACAACAACGATGACCTTAATGCACCAAACCATATCAGTTGTAAAAACATTAATTAAAGGTTGTTTAAGATCTTAGAGAAAGTTTCCTGATTAATTCTCAAGAAAATAGCATGATTATATCAATTGCAATAATATGACGATGTTCTATTTTGCTACATCATCTATAAAATATGACGAGAACAAGAGGAGAACCTCGTGAAAGCCGAAACAGATAAGCGAACATAATATCTGGACCTGGTACAAGAGGTGACCAACATGTGGGGTGGTCTGCCGACCGAAAATATACCTGTAGTTGTTTCTGCGAACGCGCTAATTCTGGTCAGCCTCTCGGATCAGCTGAGGCTGCTGGGGCTCCGTGACGAACCACTCTGGACTCAAATACAGAAGGCGGTGCATCTCAATACCGCCCGCATGGTATGTCGGTTTCATTCCCTTTCTCCATAACCCTCGGTCGTTTGGTCTCCCTGTCAAGGTTTCCTGACTGTATGGGTTTTTATTTATTTATGTATTATTTATATATTTTATTGTTTTAATATTTATGTATATTTTTATTTCCTTTTATATAGATGGTTATACAACCATATGAGAAAACTATATAAATGCCCCAACATAGTATGACGATGTTAAATTATATCATCATAATATTCAATTGTCTGTCTGTGTTTCCATATCACCCACGTTACTTGTTAGTTCTGTCTCCTGATGATCTACATCACTTTGACTGGAATCAGTGTCACCTGCAAGTTCATGTTTATTAGTAAAATTTGTTCTGTCTAAATATGTAGCTTTTTATATTTACATTGTGGTAATTGACTATTTTGCATAAGAATTAAATGTATATGAATATGGAAATTTATTACTTTGACATTTTCAAATAGTTAAATTTATTAGATGAATATTTTACCATGTGGCCTGGTCTCTAGTGCCAGTACTGCTAATGGAGTGTCATCTAATACTCCAGACCATCGTGCAGCAAGTACTCTGGATCCTCTATGGCCACGAACCACTACAGTAGGCATTACACTTGGTGATATTGAAGAACCACCATACATAGATACGCCTACGTTTCTTCGTAAAATTGTGCTAAAATGAACATTCAAGAATAAGTTATGGACAATTCCGCAATATGATTTAATGGTTGAAACATTTTCTGACGTTATCAAATAAGATTTAAGTAAAGTAAAGTATATATATATATATATATATATATATATATATATATATATATATATAAAGAAATAACTTAAATAAATACTGTTTTTCAATTTATCGTATTGTTGTTTATCGTGTTATTAATAATAATAATAATGAAATAGCTACCCATAACACCCCACCTACATAAATACTCACTACACGCTGCATTTACTTGGCTTCAGCCCGTGTATGCAGTTAGAACTAGCCAAAGAGCTAAGAAATAGAAATGTTTTCCCTACAATAATAATAAAAAAATTTGCAATCAAACACAAACTAATCCCAGACACACATACGCCATATTACAAATACACACCAAAGGCCGTACCTGAAAATATAAATTTAAAAATGTACTACGGCCGTGCTATTCTGACAGACAAAACCATCACACCACATTATAATAGACCTGATATTAGGCTCCAAGATAAAATAAATAAAACAGTATATATCATTGACATAGCCGTACCTATTACGCATAATTTAATTAAAACTATTACCGAAAAAATAAATAAATACACAGAACTGAAAGAAGAAATAACAAAAATGTGGAAGATGAAAAAAGTTTTTGTAATACCCATAGTACTTTCTACCACCGGAATAATCCCGAAGCACTTACATCATAGTTTAAAAATGCATGACATATCACCGAACTCATACGTTAATATATAAAAAGCAGCAATCTTAAATACATGTCACATCGTTCGAAAATTCATGCAGGATGACAGTAATGTAGCTTATCCCCTATTACAATGACGGTTACTTGGTTTCAACCCGTAATCGCCATTTATATATATATATATATATATATATATATATCCTCTTTCGATGGATAGCATTAAAAGAGTCAACCCGAGTGTTCACGTACATTTCAGACGCGCTACAATAGCGATTAAATCCCATTAGAAGTCGAAAAATATTATTATAAGTTACCCGTATACTATCATGTGTTTTCTTGGTTTAGTCTACCCAGAGTTGACACGTGTAAAACGCTTGGCAGAAAGATCTAAACAGTGTAATTTTCACGTCCGGCGACGCCTTGCAGAATTTTCGCGCAATCATATTGCCTACTACACACAGAGATCTACGTTGATGTTCCACATCCATGTTATCTTTTAAGGCTGAAGTAACAATATAGTCAAAATACTTGAACTTGTCTACTATCTTAATAAATTTTCCATTAAGACGAATCTCGGGCACGCTCTGAGGTAACTTCCCTTATCTGAAAATCATTATTTCCGTATTTTTGGAGTTATAAGTCATATTATGTTCTTCCGCGTATCTTTCACAGATTTCAATTAATTTTTTCAAGCATTTAATCGAGGGACTGAGCAGCACCATATCCTCAGCATAGCTCAGGCTGTTAGCAATACTGTCGTTCAGTCTGAACACTACCGGGGATCTGCTCGGCTCCACGATTAAATCATTCATATAAGTATTGAAAAGATCAGGTGAGGTAACACCCCCCTGTCTCACGCCATAAGAAAGCTTATAACAATCCGATATTTCACCACCCCACCTAACGTTGTTGGTCTGATTACCGTAACAGAACGCTAGGAGATCAACAACCTCAGCCGGGACACCTTTGCTAGTGTCACGGAGCTTTCTATTGTCATACTTCTAAGTGTTTAAGAAAATACACTACCCTATATCGTTCCATAGTTATCGTAAAAGGCCACAGAGTCCAGTTGATTGGGAGTGGTTTCTTCTTAATAACAACTCGAATAAAAATTGGTTGACCCTGCAGGCCATCCCTGGAACTTAGAACTTAACGCTAATTTCAAATTCACAGCACTCGAAATTTCTCCAAATTATGTTGCGAAATCTCGAAGTTATGTTAAAAAAAAAAAACGTTTTTTTTTTCTAATTCTTTCTCCTTCGATATCTCACGAAAGAATGAACCGATTTTTATTTTCCAAAGGACATTCTACGTCATTTTTAAGGTTAAGAGCTGATTTGTTTTTTGAAAGCGATCAGTAAAGTCGTCTAAAAGTTATTCCAAAAAAAAAACAGTTTTTCAATTTTTTTTTATTTTTGACATTTCTCAAAATCTAATCGTCCGAATCAGTTCATATTATCACCAAATCTATTCCACATTGAGATCTTTAGAACGCTATAAACCACATCTCAATCGATCAGGAAGTTTGAAAGTTATGAAAGGTTTACATACTTACACACACATACATATATAGATCCGTACGGACGTATATATGTATGTGTGTGTGGGTATATCCGTTGGTACCATAAACCAAAGTCGGTGCAAGTTGGGTGCCACGAATGCTCACTGCACTTCATAAGCAGGCGCTGGTTGACGGCTATACGGAGAATTTTGAACTATATGGTGACAACCCAACAAGTGTTTTCGATAGGATAGTTACAGGAGATAAAAAGTGACCCTGAGAGTAAACCAGAGTCTAGGCAATAGCATAAAAAGAGATCACCAAGTAGTTCAAAGTCACTCTATCGACGCGCTAAATCATGACCGCATTGTTTTGGGATCCCGAATGAATGCTTATTGATCGAGTACACAAAAAAGTTAAAACCATGAATGCAAACAAATACTCAGCCACTTTACGCCGTGTGACAGAAGCAATAAAAGAAAAGCGAAGAGGAAAGCTGACCAAGGAATTTCCTTGGTCAGCTTTCCTCTTCTCTTTCATGGCAACGCACCGGTTGGCAATAACCTCTCCAAGGCTGCTGTACGAGGCTGCGGTGTTGAGTAAATTAACCACCCACTTTCCAGCCCAGGTCTAGCCCCTATTATCTACTTTTTATTCCTAAACGTAAAAAAGATCTTTGGGCTGTAAATGAGCATTTTTCAATGTTTTTTCAATGGAATAGAAAAGTTTTTTCACAAGAATATTTCATGATTTTATCTTTTTTTTTACATACCCATATAGAGAACAGATTAAACGCGCCTCATTATCTATGTTCAGCAGTGGACTTTGATAGACCGTCAAGATGAAGAGGATGAAATTTATCCTTACCTTTCCTCAGGATCACGACGTGAGTGGTTCTTTTTCTTACACATAAGAACTAGTGCCACACAAATTGTTGTCAATATTGTTAGAAACACGAGAGACAATGCTGCTCCTATAAGTAAGGCAACACTATTGTCACCGGGTGTAGGTAGAGGTGGTGGCCCAGGAGTCATAGTTTGTAGAGATCCTGGTCAAACAAAGCAATATATTAATACGTAAAAAGAAAAATGTATTTGAGAGTGCTGTGCTATAATGTGCATTAAAATAAAATCATCTGTATGTTTGTTTAAAGTTTTAAAGTTCCGACGCGTACGAACTCTCTTTGGAAAAGCTTATCACCGGCGAATTTTCTGGACCGATAAGACTTAGGGACTTTCAAGAAAAGAGCTTACTTCTTTCTAAAAGGCAGGGAACGCTCCTGCAATTCTTCTGGTCTGCACCAGAGTAGTTTGTTCATGGGCGGCGGTAGTCACTTAACATCAGGTTAGCCGTATGCTCGTTTGCTCCCTCTCCTATAAAAAAGTTACAGCCTATATACGTCCCAGTACTGGGCACAGGTCTCCTCTCATTTCTGAGAGGGTTTTGTTTATTTAATATAAAAAGTACTTGCAGGAGAGAAGACCTGATCAAACACGCAGTAGTCTATGTGCAGCAGTAGACTTGTAACGGGCTGTAGTGATAGTGACAGTAAACTTACCAGCCCACTTAAGTAACCCTTTTCACGATTCCTACAATTGGCAAGAGTTAAATTAGTACTTAAAATTTATAACAAAATTAAAGGAGCCGAGTAATCCAAATAATACATAGATGCCAACTCGCGTACTTCACCACAGCTTCATAATTAAAAAAAAACTTATTTTATTATTTTTTGTTTGTTTTATTTTCGTTGTTGTAATAAATATAAACCTTCTTTTACTTACCAGGCTTATCTAGATCGTCAATTGTACGTATAGGGATACTGTGTAGTGCAGCAGGTCGTGGTGATCTACCACGAGGAGTTTCTGAGTACACAAGAAACGTATAGCGCCCAGGACTTAAAGCATCAAGTGGAAATTGTGGAATAACATCATTGCTAGCTCTATATACTGCTTCTGTAAGACCTCGGCCCGAAACACCCTAGAACAAACAAGGAACAACATGCTAAAGCACGAAAAATTTTGAATTCTAAATTTACCGCTCTCTTAAATGGGATGACTGATAGTAAATAATATTTTAGAATTTCGCCCGATGGTTGTTGAATAACATGGTGCTAAGCAAGGCAACTAACTTCGAGCCTGTTACTCTTGAGGACTGAAATGAACAGCCTCGTTACAAATAAAAAAGATATACGAATACATCAGTGTTATTTTTATAATTAACGCTGGCTTTCTGTGAGAGCGTGGTTCTGCCCCGGTCGAAATGATCCATGCGGGATGCAATCACAATTCAGTTGCAACGCGTCACTTGTTTAAAAAGTACCGATTTTGAATTGTATAAAATTAAATTATAAATTTTTTTATGAAATTGTGTACCTCTAAAACTGTCTTTAATTTTCATCCCTAACTTGCAAACGTTAAAAATTCCACATACCTTAAAGGTAATAAAATTAACTAACACAGCAAAAGACAAATTACATTCCAATTCAACTATTCGTAGATTATCGCTGTTACATAGCATTTTTTCAACAACAGGAACGTTTATTGATTTTAAAGTTAGAGTGTACATAATCAAGCTATGCTTAAAGATTTGTAGTTTTTTAACACTTGTTAAAACTATAAATCTGCAAAGCTACAAAAAACTACAAGGCCACGCTACAGCTATATTGTAGTTTTAGCACGAATGGGTCGGCTTGACCGGGGAAGGATCACGCTCTCACAGAATACCAGCGTAAAATAGCAGCATAATACTGCTGTGTTTCGTATTGTGAGTGCAAAGATCCAGGGACCCGGACCCAGGGGAATTTTTACTGGAAACGCATCTGAGTGTTGATTCTTAATCGAGGATAAATGTAGATGTCTACGGGCCATAGCATCCACTTACCAACAGGTGGACTATGTGCTCGTTTGTCGCCCTTATGCTATAAAAAATTAGTTAAATATAAACTTTTAAGTTTATTTTTCTATTAGTCTGCTTCGTTTATAGCAAACATGTTAAGCTAGGTCACATCGAAGACAATAAGCACGGCAACATTCAACCACGCCGCGCTCACCTGATCACTCATGGAGTCACTGTCGAATTCACTCTGCTCCGGTTCGCTGTGATGCCGTACCTCCAGCGCTTCCAATATGAACCGCTGCGGTAGACCTCCATCATGACCTGGATCGCAGCGGAGAATCTCGTCTTCTATTTCGCAATTGCTCGGTGGTTCCGGAAGGGCTAATTAACATAAAAATTTAATGAAAATTAAGTACCTACTAATAGAAGAGTTCTTTTAAGAAAAAGAATAGTAGGGTGCTTAATGCTAATACGAATTAAATAAAATTAGAATACGTCAAGAATACCAGGACACTAATGTCTCTAACTTAAGGTTTTTAAACATTTAAATAGAACACTTCATAAAAAATACTTAATTTTTATTAACTGAGTTACTCTATAGTATAATGAAAGCCTAACGTCTCGTTCCTGGGCGCGGGCCTCTCGTGCCCAGAACTGTGTGCCCAGTAATTGAACGTATATGAGAGGGTTTTTTTAAGGAAAAGGACTGACTGATCGTTTACATCCTAAGCTATATGTATACAAGTTTATAATATAATTCTATTATTAAGCAATACTTTATAATAGAATTATTTTTTATTATATTATAAACTTGTAAACCTATAGGTTAGGATGTAAACGATTATTTCCTATGCTATGGCATAATGATATTATACCAAAGATTAAAAGACTGCAGATTATAGGTATTAGTTTATATTGAAGATAATTAAGTTAAAAAAAGTCTAAACATACCAGCAGGCATAATTCGAAACAGGCAGGGCTCTCTTTGATTTCCTATGTCATTACTTGCCCAGCAAGCCAGCCAGCCTAAATCGTCATCGCCAATTTTGGGTAGACCGTGTATAACAGTGCTGCTTGACCCCATTATAGTTATGTTTGATGCCGGTATCTGTCAACGATAATTATAAAAGAAAGAAAGAACACATAATTTTATTTTGGCACAGAACATTGACTTATAACATACATATACTAATTTATAACAGTAACATAAGAGTTCAAAAAGAACTTAACATGCATTGAGTGATAATAAAGTAAAAAAAAGAGAGCCCAAATTTTAATTAATATGGCTTTGTACGTAGAAGCTTCGCCAAAATAGGTCATCACTCAACATGAATAGTGGTCTCAACATGAAACTACAATCCAGATTTTTTGTTGTATTCTACTTATTTTACTTTTGACTACAACAACTTTATTATTTTCTTATTATAATGTATAATGCAAAGAAGAAAGTCTTAAAACTCGTAAGTAGAATAAAAGTTATCAAATAATAAATCTACGTTGCTTGATGCCGTGTGGTAGCGCCATTTCTTCCTGTGAGTGTCGTAAGATGTGACTAGATGTTATAAATTTCAGACAGGCTCCCGATAGATGGCTTAAACATCTCTTTTTTGTTAGTCATCTGTCGCAGAAGCAATAGCCGTTGGAATATCCGCGTCGAAGTGTGGAGATCGCGTTTAGGTAAACGCAGTTTGAGACGCCCCCTGGCTAGATGGAGCGAAGATCTGCGCAAGACGGCTGGCAGCAATTGTATGCGTGTAGCCAAAGATCGGGTAAAGTGGCGCGACTTAGGAGAGGCCTATTTCCCGCAGTGGAGTGCCGCAGGCTGATGATAATGTGTTAACCGTAAAATAAACAAATTGCTCACGAGAAGCAACATTAAAAGTGATGTTTGGAATTGTGATCACCAATTCATTTGCCAAGTGGGACAATTAAAGCAAATCCTTCCTACAACTGGAGATACCCATCTTCTTTTTGGCCCTGACGATGAAGAAAAAGAACGTATCTTACTTTAATTATTCTATGAAACCAGTTTAATCTCAGAAGATCGCTGTGATAAATGTAATGAAATAAATTGTGATATAATTCAGGCCGCCAGGGCGATAATACCGGAAGTCCGACCTTAGGAGTGAGGTGAAATATTTGACAGACATAACGACGACAGATATATTTTATATTATTTAGTTTAGAAATGAATAAACCAAATATTAAATATTCCGAAAGAAGAAAAAAAACACAAATTAAAAATGTGTAAAGAATCAAATAATACTGCATTGAGGCAATGTTTTACGAGCTGAAAAACTTTTATATGAATCGCAGCTTTTAATGATGATTACACTGTGTGACCATCTGCGTAGCAAATAAGCTCACCTGAACTCTAACTAGCGTCATTTTTATAAAGAATAAGGGTGACAAACGAGCACACAGTCCACCTGATGGTAAGTGGATACTGTGGCCCATAGACCCACATTTATCTTCAAATAAGAATCAAAATTCAGATGCGTTGCCAGCCTTAAAGACTGAGATGGAATGCCTCATTTCCAGTAAAAAGGCTCCGCTTCTCTAAACTTACCATACAAAACATAACGGCATTATGCTGCAATTTTACGCTGGTATTCTGTAATCCTACTCGGCGCCGACCCATTCGTGCTGCAACCACAGTACAGCCACAGCATGGCTCTACCACGTAAAAAAGTCGTCATCTGATAAGCGTGAGATTATGGGCCCTCATTATGGTGTGATAGTTAATAAAAAATATTAAGGGGGCTATTCACCAACCCAAGTTGCAATGAAGTAACACTGAAAGTTTCACATATTCAGATATTAAATAATGGATCATAGAGCTTTTGTTCATTTCGTTCTTTTAATTTCTTTTATTTGTGCGAATAAACAGTGTCAGAATATATTACTTCAAAATACATTATCATACTCGTAATTACATAAGTTGTGATACTAATGCCATTTCCATTATAGCATGTAAAAGTCCACTGCTGAACACGGGCCTCTGCCATAGATTGGCTCATAGGAGGGATTTTGCCATAGTTGCTGCTCGGTACGCCAGTATTTTTTAAGGAAAGCGGTTTGGCAACTGCAGTTTTTTTATTATTTTTTGACTTTCACTTACCGGCAAAACGTCTTTTGTGCTATTATATGTCCAGTAAAATCTTAAAGGTCCTGCATCTCGTGTGGAGGGTGCTGTCACTGAGCACCGCGCTCGAACCTCACCGCCGGGCGCACCAGCAAGCTGCTGGACAACACTACCGGCCGAGCATTCAGGACGTGCTGAAAGAAAAATATTTTAAGAAAAAAGATTTTTAAAGCGAAAGAAAATCTAAGAAATTAGCTTTTGGAAGCGAAAACTTCTTTAGAATTCTTCTTTTCACTCTTTTGTTGTGATTTTAAACTTGATGAAACGAAAAAGTGACACTAAAAAATAACAAACGTATTCGATTTGGCCTGCGAGAAAATGAGAAAAAATACAGTGTAGTAAGTGAAAGTAGCTTAATGGCAGGGTGCGGAGCGCGAACACAATAGGGTATGGGTTCGAATCCACTATTTCACTGCAGTCATGAATCAGTCCTAACACAAGTATATTCAGCTTACTACCACTACTTACTAGCTTAGTAGTAGTAGTTTTTAATACAGTGTATCCTATTATCTCGGTCTCCTCCATGTGTGGTATTTTGAAGAAGGATAATATAACATTAAGATGTTAAAGTACACATTATAAAAAATTTACAAATTTATTAAATAAATAAAATTTAAAATATTCAATGAAATTACATCAATTTTTGTTCGATAATATGACTTTACCTACAGAATGAAATAGATAGCGCTATTACAAAGCAATTTAACTCAAAATCAAATATTCCTTTGATTTATTACATTAAATCTTATTCTAAACATAAGAATTGTAATATATATTTGCCATAAAATTCAACTTTTATCTTATATTTTATGCCGCACTTCTGATTGATAATTATCTTGATTAAAACAACTTTTACGAATCTTATCGTGTTTAATTTATAAGATTTTTCATTCCCGACTATTCGGGTACTTTACAGCACCCATAGTCACGGGTGACCGAGGTAACTGACGTCCAGATGTCAGTGTTAACCCGGTGTACCTTCATTTTTTTAATTAATATTAATTAAATATACACAAAGACAGATGAGAATAAGGGACTGTTTAAAAGAGTAATGTAAAGTAAAGTTATTGCCTATATACGTCCCACTGCTGGGCACAGGCCTCCCCTCATTTCTGAGAGGGATTGTTTGCTGTTATACTATTTGAAACAGGTATCGCCAATGTATAGCTTAAAAAATTATGTTTGCTGCAAATCTGCTAAAATTTTGTTATGTCTCGCACTGACATCGGTACGTCACCTTGTTCAATGATATTTTGCAAGAATCTTTGAAATTATCTTATTAAATAAGTCATTTGCCATGAAATATTCATTTATTTGAAGGTTTCACTTGTACCGCGTGTGAAATGCACAATTTTTTTTTATAAAAGTTACGAACAAAGTTACAGTCCTGACAGAAAGTGGTTACTACAGTCCATAAACATCTGCAACCGACGTCAAACAAAGCAAGCTACAGGTGCGTTGTCCTCCCAAAAAGACAAAGTTGCCAAAGCGACAGTAGCCTAATCGCAGGGCGCAAATCGCGAAATCAAAAAGGTCGTTGGTTCGAATCCGCCATTCGACTACTATCGTGAACCACTCCCAACAAAAGCGTTATAAGCTTACCAGGAGTGGTTAAAAGGAATAATAGTAATGTTAATTAATAGGGTTACTAATATTTAAAAAATGTACTGACTCTCTACACACTTCAAATCTGAAAACAGCATACTACTTACTAATATTTTGCGGTAAAAATAGTTAAAAGAAACGTTGCCAAACACACCTCTAGGTAAACCTTTTCGTCCACTATTTTATAAAGGTATAGAAATAATTAAATAATAAGATAACTATGCGTATTCACAATTTCCAGAAAAGATAATTAAAAAAGAATTCTAACAAGGTTATTAAATACTAATTAAAATAATAACATTTTATAAATACGACGAGTGAAGTTCGTCATAATCAATTCTCTTTGATGACAAACTTCTTAATATCATACTTCCGATATACTTTGTATACGTAGCTTTCATAGCGCTGTCAAATTTAGCTTCAAATCAATATTCTTGGTTTAACCTCTTGCTACTAAACGGCCGAATTCGGTCACATATTCCTTCAAATACCAAGTGACCGAATTCGGCCGTACCCACCCACAGCAATTTAACCCACAAATCCTTATGGTTAAAGACTACTTTTCTATGAGGATCAATACGATTTTTTTTATCTTCTAGTGCAATAAAAATCCAGTTACTCTATGGTTATTTATTTATAATCTACGTTCATTACGTAAGCCATTTTCGTGTGGATGTTATTGTGTTTAATTCTACTGTTTTATTATAAAATTGTCATGAAAGTTTTTGTGTGAATATAATTTATCTTTTTACGTAAATAATTTCGAGTAATATATAGAAATAATAGTGATTTTCACGCTGCTGACGTCCGCTTGGTATGTATCTGTTTTTTGTTTTCAAAATACAATAAAGTCTTTTTGTAATGAAGTAAAAACTGACTTTTTTTTAAACCACAGGATAGATAATTTTGATTTTATAATGCCAAACTTCTTTGCAGAAAGTAGTCTCTAAATATAATTTTTAATGGTTTAAATTGTTGTGAGTGGGTGCGACCGCTCGGGATTTGACGGACGCATGCGACTGCATGGGATTTTATGGGTACTGAAGGTTAAAGAAGTCTTGTCAACACAATGTGTCTGCTGTAAGTCTCCTATTACTTACACGAGCAACTCAAGTTCGATCTTTGTTGATTCTAATGAAATTGAAGATACAGTGAAGTAAATCATGACATGTTAGTTTCACCGGTAACTAATTTAATATTTTGGAAACATGTTAAGTCAACACGCACTAAAGCAGTGCCGGGGTCTATCAACAGCCCTCTAAAAACGACGGGAGATTTGTGCTATATGATTTTTAATATTATGTATTATAATTAATCTATATTGAATGATAATTATTCTTTTCTAATCTACCTTGTTGCATATAAAAGTATTATAGCTGCAGCATAAAGGAGTCGGCTCCATTGTAGAAGAACCATGCCATCACAGAATACCTGCGTTAAAAAGCAGCATAGCTCTGCTATGTTTTGCATAATGTGTGATGAGAAGCAGAAACCCTTTTAAATATTTATTTAAACGTCAGAAATTTTTTAGAACTGAACAGACGTCTATAAGCCATAGCATTCACTTACTATCATAAATGTCAAACGTCTTACTTATACCTCAATTTTTAATTATAATAACGTTGCATGAAAAATACTAAACAAAATTAAAATAGTCACAGAAATAATTAGGTTATTTTGGACCATAATGTTTTTATAGTTTACTTAATTAACTCATCTAACACACGCAATGAAATAATTAATATAGGCATGTAAATTGAATAAAATGAGTTACATTCCTTGAAAACAGTAAGACTGAAATCATTTTAAATAACACCGTTTAAAATCTACCACAGAATAAAGTAACGTTATTTTATTTTTTAAAGGAAAACTTATTTCCACTTGAAATGAAACAGGAAATACTTACATAGCACATTCAAAGTAAGCGGTTCACTTAATCCGCTACCTTCAGAATTTCTCGCTCTACACCGGTATCTTTCGGAATGGTGCCTTCGCAGACCTCTTAATATCAGTTTATTTCCCTCCACGGAGATGCCTCCAACCGGATCGTCGTGAATGAGATGGTCCTAGTAAATTTTAAATAAAAAGTTAAAATATTTTCAGCTCTCTTCCTTTACAATTATATTTTTTAACTAGCGATCGACTCTGACTTCGTCCGGTTAGGATCTATTAATGTGGTGTTACTAAGATTTAAAATAATCATCAAAGACCATTTCTTCTATCGAGTTTTCAATTTCTCAAAAAATATCCAAGTTTTTCTTATAGAATATATCTTAAAACTATATATTTTAGATCACTCCTGTTCTCTATCTTTTCGTGAAGGTTCATTGCCAATCGGTTTAAACCTATCCGAAAATTAGTCCCGACAGACAGGCCAACATTTAAAAAATGGTTTTTCATGTTTTTAAGGCATGCATTTCGATATTAGGTACAGACATGCATTTCATTTTTGTATACAGGGTTATTTCACAATAACCAGCCAAATTTGCAGAGAAGGTTCAGAATAAGTAATATAGGCAAATGGTAAAGAAAAATTAATTATAAAAATTCGAAATTTTCTGTCTTTTTTCTCTTTTAACTTCAAAATGCGTGTTGTAAAATAATTTGAAATAATGCGTTACGCAATATTTTAAATGATTTTACTGCATACGCAAACTTTGTTGCCAATAAATCTGAGCAAGAGACAACAAGTGTGAAACAAGTGAAACACATCGAAGCCTAAATCGCGCTATCAAAGCTCCAAAGTATAAACAGTATAACATATAGAATAACTCCGAACTTATCACACGTAGCGTTAGCCGCTCCCCGGGCAGAACACCTTGTCCGGCGGGTGATCTTCTCCTTTCCTTTCACGCCCACAGAACATTTAATTCATAAAATTTGCCTATACAAAATTTACAATAGGTACAGTTTTAAGTAACAATATGTATAGACCAATGCAATCGAAACTATAGTACGAATCTTTACTTATTATAATTAATAAATCGGAAGAGTTCTTTGTTTGTTTCAACACGCTAATCTCTAAACTACCAGTTCAATTTGAAACAACTTGGGAAACGAGTGGAAACGTGCGGTGCATCCCGTAAAAGGCGACGTGAACCAGGTGTTCAGCGTCGTACGGTGTGTTCGCGATACGGTGATATGCGTATTGGGTAATGATATTTCAAGAATTCATCACCGTGCGATGCCTACTACGTGAAGCGAGCGACGACATAAATGCGTATGCACTAGACGAGAGTTGCACGACGATGACAAGGTCACGTCACACACAATTCCCGTGGTGAAATAGATTATGTGAGATAAGGACAGACACCGACCTTGTTGTTGTTGTTGATCGCTGGGTTTTATTATCTTACCTCTAGACCCTTGTAGAAAGTAAAGTTGGTTGAAGGCGGCGAAGCATCAGAGGAACAGAGTAAAGTAGCATCTTCGTCTTCGCGAAGTAAGTGTGGCTCTTTCGGTTCAATGAGAGATATCTGAGCAACCGGTGAATCTTTAACAAAGAGAGATATTTTGCAATTTTGTAATTAGCATTATTTATATTCAGCCAATCTCTATTAGATCTTATGGCGATATCGATAAAATGTTTGTAATTCATGTACTCCGTAAAAATTTAAGCTACAAAGTCAGCAGTTCTATTACTTTATATTCTATTCTATTCTATTTCTACCCCATGTCATCCCATCCCATCCCATTTTATTCCATTCTATGCTGTTTTCATTCTATTCTCCAACTACATTATGTAAAGGATATCGGTTTCTATTTTACTATTTCAGTTTTAGATTTTTCAAGCATTGTTTTTTATTTATCACATAAACAAAATGTACTTTGCTTGTCAATTGTTTGTGGTGTATTGTTGCTTAGCGCTAATAGGTAGAATGCACCAGACCAAAGTCCAGATATAAGTGAAAAAAGAGACATACAATGTAGTTTTAGTTGATAGAACGTTTGAAAAAGACGGGTACATAACTATGATTCTTACATAAAACGTCTAAAGACACAGAGTCTTCTAAAGTGTAAGCTGGAAACCATGGATTGGAAACTCGGCACACAAGCTGTCTGCCGCTATCTTCTCGTCGAATTCGCCACGTCAAGATACTCCTTGTGACCTCTCCATCCACGTCCATCTGTAAGACGGGATAATCATTTACATTGAGTTACCCCTAAGGTGATACCTCTTAAATTTGGTGGTTTTTCTATTTCACATAATATTTTTTAAGTTTAATAGATTACACATCAAAATTTTGGTATATGATTTTTGACCACATGAACTTGGATTGCAAAAAAGAAAAACCGGATATCATGTAATTTTTTCGATAGAAAAAAAATTGCAAAGTACGCTCTAATTAGTTACATTTCTCTATGATACTACAATATTTTAACGAATAAATCCTGGAATTATTTTTAAGGCATAGTAAATAATCATATCTAAGTTCTCACGAACCATTTTTAATCCGTAATGAAGATTCGTTAAAAAAAATGTTATTTGGCGCTTAGTTTTTTTCCGAGCGTGTGCTCGGTATAGCTATATACTTTGCGTATTATGGAGTCATTGCCGACTGACAAAGGAATAAGCCACGCCCACAAAACTACGATTCATTTTCAAGGTATCCTCTTAATTTGAGTAGGCGTAAGGAACATACCGTTACTTAAGAGGAGAGCCGAAACCCTGAGTGTTTTTAAATCAAATCGCTTTATTTATTTTTATCATATATAAAGTTAGGAAAGGTGTAAAAGTAGACTAAGTCTATATTTTTAGATTATTACTAAAGGTAATATTCAATTTGATGTAGATTCTTTATTAGCATAATAAGCGCCCTTACGCCGTTTCATAAAAACTATCTCTCAGCAAGCCGGATGGAGATGGCTATTAATAATAAAGACATCCTCAATAGAACTAGAGTAACCAACATGGACGACGTAAGCTAACGAATCAGTAAACTGAAGTGGCAATGGAGTGGTCATATAGCTTAAAGAACTGACAACCGACGAAGAAGATAATTTCTAGAGTAGTAGCTTCGTAACTGCAAGCGAAGTGTTTTTTTACAAAAGAGGAACCCCCAAAGAATTAAGTGACGGCCTGGTAAAGCACATGATAGGAAGTCGATTGATTCAGGTGGCTCAGGATCGTGTTTATTATATTTTGACGGCTCTATGGTGCAATGGCATAAAATCTACTTATAATTTTTTTTCTTGCTTACCTCAGTCATAGATGAGTCGATACGCTGTGAGTTAATGAACCAATCGATATTTGGTGGAGGTTTTGAACCTCGTGTGGTACAGACGAAAGATCGCTCGTGGCCGGCCCTCGTTGCACCACTACCCGTGACCCGAACAAACTGAGGTTTCACTGCATTACATACAAATAAAATCATTATGAAAAAATAATATTTATTAAAATTGTATATAGTACAAAAATAATTCCAAACAATTATGTAAATGACGATAGAATTGAAATTGATTTCAGATTTCAGTTGAGATGAAATCTAACTCGGAAATTCACTTTTTTTTTAAACTAGGATTTTCTTATGTATGGTGGAGGCAGTTTAAACATAAATTGTACAAGGACAGACTCGGAATAACTATTTGTATGCCATACAAATATTCTTTTCGTGCGGAATTCGAACCCGCGGCCCTCAGCGCGGGAACTCAAGATAAGCCACTGCGCCACGTAGCCATCGTTACTGAAGAGCTTTAATAATTCAACAGATGAGCGCTATTTTAAAATTTAATTATAAGTACGCAAACAAAGTTCAATTCTCGACAACCCCAGTATTTTATGCGTGCTATCAGCATCAATTGACCTATGCATGTTTCATCAGGTCGTTATTCCATCTTCCTAGTGAAGGGTTGCCCAGCACCACGCTTATCATTACGAGGATGACACTCAAAAACATTTTTTCCTATTAGTAGTCAGTTCTTCTAGTTATATTTTAGACCCTGCTCTTACTGACTGCCTCGTTGGTCTAGTGGTTATAGTAGTACGACTGCTGATCATGAGGTCCTGGGTTCGAATCCCGGGTCGAGCCAAAAAAATAATTATTGAGTTTTTCCGTCAAGAAATTCTCAGTAGTTGCCTGGAGTCAGGAAGTTGGCGGTGTCTCAGCCCCTTGCCTCGGAAAGCATGTAAAGACGTTGGTCATGCGCCTGGTCTCTCTCCGGTCGTGTCGGTTTACCGTCCCATCGAATTATGAGAGTGAGGGAACAAAGAGTGCCCTGTGCTTGCGCATTCACTGGCAGGCAGGCCGCAGTGGCCGGAATTCGGTCTGGAGGACATTATTATTATTTTAGGCCCACTGCCTAAAATATAAGTATATACAATAAATATCTAATACTAGTAATAAACAGGAAAATAATACTTACAAAATAGTTTAATCGTAACATCTCTATAGTATGCCTTCAGAAGTCGCGGTTCCACTCTACACTGTAAAGTTGTACCAGCAAATTCTCTGGAAAGTCTTTGTAAGTGGAGTTGACAAACTGATCCTTCTTTAGTAACAGCTAAACGTTCCTGACCTCTATACCAAGATATATCTGGTGGCGGTTTTCCTGTTAGCAGAAGATAATATATTATATTACACAGTATGGTACATATATTATACTTTAGAAAACATTAAATAAATTATGATGTGCGTTTCAAAATCATATAAGGCTTAAGTATTCTTACTTATATTTTATTTCAAAATATCCAACGAAGAAAATTTCCAGCATGAACAGAAATAGATTTTAAAGACTGCATCAAATTACAGTACCGTACAAAATGTGTTTTTTTTTTTAAATTTTAGCTTATGTAAGGTGGATAACAATCTTAACTTCTTAATAATTTTTTTTATTTATTACTGTTAATGACAGAGGAACTACAAAAATTAAGTCCAATATTTTATCTATAGTATTTGAGATACGTAAACTTATTACCTCCAGCTGCTTGACAGGACAATAGTAGGTTTGATCCTTCCCGAAAAGGTCCAGCAATTGAACCAGTAATCTCTTGACCGTCAGAATCGTAAATCCGAGGTGATTCCGGTGGTACTATAAAATAATTGTGATATAGTCAAAACATGATAAACGCATAATAAGATGAAACCTTAGTAGATAGAGAGACAATCTGATGTGACATGCAGAGTGTTGTTGACATTATACGCATGTGAATAAATCCACATTTTAGGCAGTAGTAGTTGTATATATGATTATACTGGATGACTTTTTTTACCGTCTGGAAAAAAATAGGGTATAAAAGGTGAATGGAATAGAAATAAATAGCAAAACGAAGAGGGATTTTTTAATTTACATTAACATATTACGAAATTTGTCTATCATTATATATTAATAATTTGAAATAAACTTTCGATACTAAAAAAAATAACAATAAATTTTTTGAACTAAATAAATAAATCAATTAAAAACTAACAAATTACACGTACCTAATTAGTAATATTTATTCATATATCAATTTCATAATATGTTAATGTAAAATAAAAAAAAATATCAGTACCATAGGCTTTTATTCGTTTCACCTGCTTTTTTCCAGACGGTAAAAAAAATCCAGTATTTTCAAAAGCATCACTAAAGTTAACAACCACAATTAGTAACAACACTGATGAACTAGGAAATAATCGGTATTTAAAACAGCAATTCATATTCAAAGATCGGAGCTGGCAGTAGCGTCCAACGTACTAAAGATAAATACCAATTAAGAACTAAAGATTAAAATTACCTACCTATTACAGTCAAATTGACCTTGTAATTTCTAGTTGGTGAATCGACATAGTCGATTCGACATCGATAAATTCCTTCATCGTATCGAGCAACCTTTTCAACGGCAAGGTGTGCTGATGACGGATCAGATTCATTGAGTACGAAGTGACTGCGAGCGCCGAATTCCCCAGCTACTGCCCAATGTACTGGTGGTCCATTTCTGAAGTCCACACTGTAAAAATTTAAGTGTTATAAATGAGGGTAGAAAATAAAAGAAAATACGACGAAGTGTGGGTGCATCTCAAAACTTCTATCTTCCTACGGGCAGTGTAAAGACGGCTTGGGCGACTAGTTTACATTTTTACTGGGCGGTGGGATTCCTTTTATGGTTTCCGTCTGACAAGAAAAACCAGTATAATAGCAAGGTCTGAAGAATTCCGGCTTAGTCCACAGAGGTGACAACGTATTTGTAGCTTTCTTTGTAATGTCTTCTATACCGAATTTCGGTCTCGATGGTCAGTCTCAACGAAGACTAGCCATAGGCGCAGGACAGGATTACAGTGCCTGAGCGTATGCGCAAGCACAGGTGCACTCTATTCCCTCACTCACATAGTCGGATGGGACAGCAATCTGAAATGATCGGAGTAGATTTGTCAGATCGGAAGACGAAAATCTGGACAAAATTTTAAAATGTCGGGATTTTGGGGTTGTTGTCGAGAGAAATAAATATTAAAAATAAAAAGTTTATTTTATTGAGAAGAGACCACAAAAAGTACTTTAAACAAAATTTATTTGAGTACACTCAATTTTTAGGTTCCCACATGTTTTTGGATTGGACTTTACTAGCGTCCACCAATTTGAATCTTTTAGTTGTATTCAGAAAAGATTTAAAATTCAAACAATTTACTTCAAAGTTTAGTCGAATTACTAACTCAGCTTTTATTAAATCTAAGACCATACGTTAACTTTCCGAGAAGCCATTTATCTGAAGATTTTGAGTTTTATCGGGAGTCTGCAGATCATTTGAAATGTCGGGAGAATTCAAAAGAATCCCGACCATCTGGCAACCTTAGATCGGAGGGAGATTAGACCGAGGATCTACGGGTTTACGTGCAACTTATCACCAGGTGTACTGTACGTTTGTTTGTTACTTTAATATTACAAAAAATAAGGAGTATGAGTATGGAATGATGAAAGTAGAGGTATGCTAGATAATTTTGCGACCAGGATTAGGAAATGAATTTCGCTTTTCTCGTTTGGTCATGTAGAAAGAATGAATAAGGAAAGCGTGACAAAGCAACTTTAGGTTGCAAAAGCGAATGGCCGAGTCAGCAAGGGACGAACTAGATAAAAATTTACCAACAGAATTGGCGACTTATTTAAAATGTATCAAATTTACAATACCCGTAACTGGCGAACATGTATGCTAAGGTACATGGACATAAAGAAGGCGAGAAAGGTGTGTCAGGATAGCGTCTAATGGAAGTCCTTAGTCTATGTCTACTATATGTGTGACAGGAGTGAGTTTTTATGTATGTTTCATCAAGTCCTTCAGATATTTAATAATACTGATACAAATAATTTAATTTTATAATTCGTTTTAAAGAGCCGTAAATTTTACAGTACACCCGCAACCTGGATTTTAACGTAGCAGGCATCAATTAAAATTTTAATTGCAATTTTTATTGTTGATTTTTTATGCTTAGCAATCATAAGATAAACGTTATTTGGAATCCTACATATATAAAGAAAAAGAAAGAAACCCCAAGAAACACACAATCGTTATGAACATAAATACTCTAGCCTACATAAAACTTAGAGTTCTTTTAGAAGCTTATACAATAGTTTTATTACTACTATCTATGAGGGTGATATAAAAATAAAAACTGCATTACACCGTAAGTATTAAAATTATTGTATTACACAACTGATTAAAAACCAATGCCTGTAATGTAAAGTCTATAACATACTTAGTTCAGCTACTAAGGCTATAAGACCCCCAAAATACCATTTGGGTTGTTTAGCAAATTGTCGCCATTTTGGGACCCATATAAACAAAATTTTAAATATAATTTTAGGAATCTTAGACAGTATTTTTAGCCTATACCATTATTTTCAATTTGATCACTATGTTCCAATGTGCCTTCATATCCATTGATAAATTTTTTTATTCCAACCTATACAACTGATATTAAGTTACCGTATTTTGTATTTTTCTTTATATTATTTAGCTATTTTGCTGGCACGTCCATTTTTTGATTGAAAACATAGGTGATAAATAAGTTGACCGTAAATCTAATTTTACACTTTCAATTCATCAACTATCACCGCTAAAACTCAACTCCGATTCGAGTATAATATTAATATATTAAATATATTTTTTACTCTGACATTAAATGTCGCCATTATTTAATAAAGCATATAAATAATTTAGAACGCATATCTTTAAAAGTTGCTTATAAGAACTGTATAAGCGCCCTTATACAGCCAAAAATAAAGCCTCTAGTATAAAAACGAACTTCAATACAGCTCGTATACAGCTCGCATGCTGCTCTTTATTTTAAGCAATATATGGTTATAGCACGTAAGAGGCACTACGGCCGAGGTAAGATCCACAGAGTTCCAGCGTGAAATAGCAACTAAATTCGGCTATGTTTTGTATGGTGAGTGTAGAGAAACGGAGACTTTTTTACTAGAAACGAGGCATTCCATCTTAGTCATCAGGGGTGAAAACGCATTTGCATTTTGATTCTCAATGGCTAAATGCAGATGTTTATGGGCAGCATCATCCACTTAAGGTATAATCCTGTGGTGGAATAATAACCTAATTCCACTACATGAATAAATATTATATCATCATTGATGTAGCAAAAAATAGGCACGCGACTCTGCATTGGGTCGCAGTGTTATAACTAACACTTTTCGTATAACAGAGAATAAAAATAAAACATTCCCTAAGATAAATGTAGTCCGTTAATTGTTTGTATGTCGTTAATTGTTGGGTCAGGGTTTAGGACACTTTCTCGCCCTAAAATAACTCTTCCAAAAAATGAGAGGAGGTCTTGCGCCTAGCATTAAGTCACAAATTTAATAATCTTTATGTACGTTCAACAGATTTAAATCGGCTGCATAGCGTTCGGAAAACATTTTTTCGTTAAATATACCTCAAAACCCGAAAATAAGATTGTTGAGTGATGACTCTGGATCTGAGACGTGGTCCTTCACAGCTGGCGATTTGAGGAAGCTTAAGGCCGTTTGGCGAGCTATGTAGTGAATTATTCTCGGGATTTCTCTGCGTGAAAGACTTAAAAATGAGGATAACCTCAATAGAACCAAAATAACTGACATAACCCAACGGATTACTAAGCAGAAGTAGCAATGGACCGACCATATAGCCCAAAGAACGAAGAGAAGAAAGGTTCTCGAGTGGCAACCTCGTTAGGCGAAGTGTATTGCGCCCCCCCACCCCACTAGATGGAGTGACGAGCTCGTAAGACGATGGATGCAAGTGGCTCAGGAGCGTGCTTTATGGCGTTCCTTGAGGGGCCTGTGTTCAGTAGTTGACTTGTGAAGGGCTGTAATGAAAGAATTAATGAATGAATGAATTAATGATTGTACATTATTATCATTGTTAGGAATAAGGGTAGAAAATAAATAAAGTTTAAAATCCTTCATATGTGTGTCTGTTAAGAAGTGTAAGGCACGCCTCAACGCGTACTTCGCGCTGGATATCATTGAGTTTGTGGAAACCCATTTGGCAAGCTTTTTTACCTTGCCAAATTGACGCAAATGAACCAATATCGTTTAGATGCTCACGTTGAAAGCTGCTGCTAATTCAGCCGTAGATTGAGTATCATCAGCTTCCACAATCGCCTATAATTCGTCATTGTCGAGAAAAGTTTTCGGACGACCACTTCGTTTATTTTTCAGGTTGAAATTTTCAGAACGGAAGCGGCCAAACCAAGAACAGGTAGTGCGTTTATTTGTAGTATTCGATCCGTAAACGTCGTTGATGTTGCGTGCCGCTTGTGCCGCGTGGCTGGCACGACGACGCTCATATTCCGTAATTACTCTTATTTTTAACGTATCCATGATGAAAAAAGATTGCGATGAAAACATAACGCTAATCAATAAACAAATGACTAATTTTGAAAAAGGTAATTCATGTTTTCAAAGTAAAATTGATTTGAGTTTATAATTCTTAGTTAGTACTGCAGAAAGGCAATTTCATTGGTAAAGACCTATTATAATATAAAGTTGTTAAATTATTTTATTGAATAATTTTGAGAATAATATCTAATATCAGAAATGCGATAATTTGTTATATACTTCCTTGTTAATGATTTTACGTATTCAAGTGTAAGATTGAGAAATTCTACATTGAAATGTCACGAATTCGTTATTAATTGCCACAGGCACTGCGCGCGACGTCCGACGTCTGACGTTCATGATGAATGAACCGAGCTGAGGATCGACGCAGCTTGTCTACGCGTTCTCAATTACTGTTAATTGAGATACAGCTTATAATATTCATGTTATTTCTTAAATACTCGTTATTTTTATTAATTAAATTATTTACGGTTTATTTTAAGACACTGTGAGGGTTATAATGGGCAAACTAAATGTCCTTTTTTTCGGACAATAGAGAGGAATAAGAGAAAACATTGACATGAGTAGAAGTATACGTCAAAAAACAACATATTCTATTTTAATAAATTAATATAGTACGATAATTATCTCTATCATTTATGCCTATTAAAAGTCCACTTCTGAACAAAGGCCTGTTTTATAGAAGAAGTTTAAAAAACGAGCACACAGTCCACCCGATGGTAAGTGGTTGCTGTGGCTCATAGACTATATCAGATGTGTTGTCACCCCTGATAACTAAGATGCAATGCCTCGTTTTCAGTAAAAAGGGTCATCGGTTTTTACACTCACCAATCGAAACACAGCAGCTTTAAGCCGCTATTTCACGCAGGTATTATATTAGAGCGTGGTCCTATCCCGGTCGAGAAGACCCAATCTTGCTACAGCTGTTATGGCTGCAGCGTGGCTCTACCGGATAAAGACAAAAAGGTAAAGGCCTTTTTCATAGATTGCTTTATAAGGGCGATATTAGCTGTATGACTAGCGGATTATCAACCGCAGTATTTTACTATTTTGAGTTGTTATTGTGGAGATGACGCTGCCCATCTCCTTTACATTCCCCTATTACGACACACGATACATGGG